CTGCCTTGGAGCTCTCAGCAGCCCTAAGAGCACCTCTGGCACCCTGCCCAGCCTCTCTGGCTCATCCCAAATTGCTTTCCCTCCATTCCTGATGGCTTGATTTCACTCGTGGGCTTCAGAAAAACAAACAAAACAAAAAAAAAATCACAAAGGAGGGGAGGAAATCAAAAGCAGCATCTTTCAGCACCCTCCAGGGTGCTGTGTCCCATCCCAGGACAGGCTTTGGCACAATTTTTTGTCAGCCCCTCCTGGCCACAGGTGCTGAGATCAGAGGAATTCAATTTTTTTTAGGTTATACAGCACCAACTACACCACTGAGACACAGTTATGGCACTCAGCTGCACAAAATTAACTCCCCTTGTCTTCTGAAAGAGCCAAAAATGACCTTAAAAAGCAATATATTCATGCCCTGAGCTTTTCCACACATGGGAAAAGTCAGCTCAGCCACTCCAGGCACTGCTGCAAACCAAGAGGGTCAAAACCCCACTTAACTTGTGGGACAAGGCTGCAAAATCTCACACAGATGAACCAACAAAAATTGGCAGCAAAAGCAGCCACTCGTTCCTAGGCTGTCCTTGGCTTTTGCCAAAACCTACTCAATTTTTTAGCCATGTCCACAACACAATTTAATGATGCCAGCTGCAGCTCTGGAGCCAGGGGCTGGACAAGACTTTTATCAGCACACAACAGCCTCAGGATGGAAAATCAGGGGACAAAATGGGAAATGCAGCAGGAAAATGGAACAGCAAGGTCTGAACAAAGCTCGTTTTGCTCATCACTGGAGGAACACAGAGCAGGAAAACAGGGCTGGGCCTTTCCCTGCTGCAGAAATCAAATTTCTCATTGGATTTCTTCCCTGAGATTCCTCCAAACAGCCCCACAAAGGGGTTAAATCCAGCCTAGGAATGGAAATATTTCCCTGCCCCAGATTTCGGCAGCATTTTCCGCTCACAAAGATCCCCCAGCTGTGGGATATGGGATTCCCTCATTCCCTGCTGGGATCCAGGTGTGACATGGGCACAAAATGACCATCACCAGGATGGTTTGGGAATTATTCCTGCCTTTCAGGCTGAAAATGCTTTTTTTTTCTGCAAAAGAGCCTTTCCCAAGCTTCTCTCTCTGTCTATTCCTACACTCAACCACCAGGACTTGGTTTCTAATTTATGTTTAAAGGAAGGCAAATTAAAAGGAGTTTTTCCCTCTAAAACTGAGACACATTTACATGGCTTCACTCCCCCCAGTGCTGCTGCACCACAGGAACTGCAGCAGAGAAAGTTTATCCCCACCATGGGCTGGATTTTTGTCCTTCCTTCTCCCCCTGCAAAATAAAATAAAAAAATCCCTTTGCAGTCTCATCCCCTCAGCTTGAAACCTCCCAGCCCTGCAAGAGCCCATGGTGCCATTTGTAAACTCCTGTTTACAACAAACCCAGCACAAAACTCATCTTGTCCAACCTGGGCCCAGGGCTTGGCCCCTTTTCAACCCTCCCCAGTCCCTCACAGAGACCCTCAGAGCCTCCCAGCTAATTGAATTTTAATGAGAGGAAGTCATTTTTCCACTGGAAGAATGTTTTGCTAGAGAAATATTTTGAAACTCCTCTAACCTTTCCTGCCAGGCTTTTTAAAAGTGTTTTTTTGGGGATTTTTTTTTGCAGCAGAACACGAGTGAGGAAGTTCCCATCTGGGCTCTGAGCTGTTCCCCTCACAACCCCAGCATTTCAATAATTACAGATCACAAAACAAAAAGTGTTTGGGGCTGGTTTGGTTTCAGTCCTGACAAGGAGGATATGAGTTCCCACTGCTTTTTACAGCTCCTGTGTGAGACAGAGCCAACCCCAGCCCTGTCTCCAATCCCACTCCCACCTCACTGGGTTCTTTTAATTTCCAGCAAAAGCGACAAACGCACAGAGCAGAAAACCTCTGTCCCGGTTTAGGGCAAATCTGGGAGAAAACAACACAAAAAAATACAAATACCAATATCATAACATCACCCTAGGACAACCTCCTGAGCTGGGGTTTGCAGATTGGGTGGGACAGCAGCAGCCTCATCTCCTTCATGCTCCAGAAACCCTCAGCTTTCCAGGAACACAGAAATTGAACCCTTTGTTCTGAGCCTGCACAGTTTCTGCTTAGCCTTGCAGAAAGGAGAAAGGAGGGGCCAAAGGAAATGGAGTTGCTGAGATATGAAGGAAATTAGGTTCTAGTCCACTGCCTTCAGAAAAGCTTCTTCCACCCCAGTTAAAGCTGCTGGTGGCTTCAGTGGTGCGTGAGGAGGGGATCAAAAAAAAAGGAAAAATGGATAAATATCAGAACTAGAGGGGGTTTCTATCCATCTTGTGTTATATCAGTACATGCAAGACAAAGAAAAATAAGTATTTTCTAATGACCCAGTTCTCATTAATGCCAGCAAGATCTTGTAGCTGCAGCTCACAGCCAGAACAGGCAAGAGGCCCCATTGTACCCCAAAACTGAGGAGGTCCTGATGCCTTCCTTGTGAAGGGTGACTTAGAACAGAGACTGGGCAGAGCTAAAGAATAAAGCAGGGACTTATTAAAAGGATCTCCTCAATGGATCCACCTTGGGCAGCACAAGAGCTACACCCAAGATGAACCAAAATGATCACAAAATGCACAACCACTCATGGGGTCTGTCACTTTGATCAGTTCTGCTCCATTTGCATATTGCAGTTAATTGTGATGCCTTGTGATTCCTGATGCTTTTTTAGGTCACCATGTGACCTAAAGAAGAGGGTACAGAAGGAGTGAAAGAATAAAGCAGGGATTTATTAAAAGGATTTCCTCAAGGGATGCACCTTGGGCAGCACAAGAGCCCAGCCAGGGCTGCACCCAAGATGAACCAAAATGGTCCCAAAATGAACCCAAAATGAACCAAAATGAACCAAAATGGTCCCAAAATGCACGACTGCTCCCAGGATCTCTCTTTTATCAGTTCTGCTCCATTTGCACCTCGCAGTTCATTGTCCCATTCCAGCTTTAGCCCAGGCAGTCCCACCCTGCTTGTTTTTCTCTCTCCAGCCCACGGTGTTTGTGCTCTTGGGCTGGGATTTGGATCATTTGTCCTTGGTCCCCAGCTGGAGCAGGAATTGTTTTGTCTCCCTGCTCTGTGCACAGAGCTCACCATCCCCTGATGTGAAGCTCAGACCCACAGACTAAAGCAGCACAGAATGTGAAAAATATAAAAGCTAAACCTGAGGGATCCGTCCCACAGCCCCTTGGGGGTTAAAGTCTTTTCAGCAAGGGAACCATGGCCATGGAAAGGGCTAAAAGAGGAGCAGGGAGTGCCCATGAACACCTGGGTTCAGTTCCCTCCCTGGCAGAGGAATCAGGTGAGCCCTAAAAACCACCTGGGAACCCCCCAATTTTCAGAAGCAATTCTGGAAATCCTGTTACTTCACAAAATGCAAGTGCAGGTTTTTCATCCAGCCTGGATGTGACACCAAAGTCCTTCCAGTGGCTCTGCTGGACCTGAGCTGGAGAAGAACTCTCCAGTTTTATGTAACAAGACAAAACCAAGCCTCCAGAGCTGAAATATTTGGCAGAACATCCAACACTTGTGAAAGACACTCCAGTGCCCATTGAACCCAGCTTTTACTTTCCATTCTAATTGTTCAACTTCCCAGGGAATGTCTCTTAATTTAATACAATTTCAAGATGCAGGCCTTGCTCTGTAACTGGGATTTTGGCAGATCTATCCAGCCCAGGCATTCCTGCTCTGTTTACAGCAGAGCAGCTCCCAGATGTTGGTAATATTAAACAGACTGGAACCTTCCCTCTGAACGACAGCAAAATGCAGGCAAGAACTGGCTTTGCTATGGCTCTGATTAGCCAGGGATAGGAGATATTCCCATCCCTTTGCTGGGCTGGGGAGGCCCAGGAGATCCAGCTCTTTCTCTAAATAAATTCCATAAAAATAAAGAGCTGGAGATCAACAAGGCTTGATTACACCCCACTGCACTTGGTGCTGGTTTTAGGAAGCAATTCCAGCTCACAAGAAAGATCAGGAACGGGATTCTCATCCCCAGGAAAGCCTCACAAGTGCAGCAGAGCACAAAAGTTGATTTTGCCAGGGAAATGCAGACATTAAAATGCTGCTGAACTATGGGAAAAAGCTTCTCCCATCTGTACCTTGTCTATAAATAATGCTCTGCCTCTCTGCTTCCATCACAGGGAACATCCCACCCCTCAGGAATTTGCTTTGCCTTTGGAAGCAGAGTGTGGGAGGTGACAACCAAGTCAACCAAGCTGTCAAGGAGAGTCCCCTCGTGTCATGGAGCAAAAGAGCCAAGAATCCATGGCCAATGAGTGGGAAAAGAGCAAATTCCTACAGGCCCAGGGTGAGCTGGGCCTTGGGAGGGAGCTGCTTCCCTCAGCCTTCACTCACTGCCCCTGCAGCTCAGCTCTAAATGCCAGCACAGGGATGAATGAAAAACTGGGGAGAGCTCACAAAGTTAAATGTGCAAAGAACTACGAAAACCCAGTGTAGAGATGGTCCAGAACCCCAGCAAGGGCTTGGAACAAAAGAATGGAGCAAAAAAGAACCAAGAATCCATGGCCAATGAGTGGAAAAAAGCAAATTCCTACAGGCCCAGGGTGAGCTGGGCCTTGGGAGGGAGCTGCTTCCCTCAGCCTTCATTCACTGCCCCTGCACCCTAAATCCCAGCACAGGGATGAATGAAAACCTTGTGAGCCCTTCCCAGCTTAAATATGCCAAGAGCTCCAAAATCCCAGTGTAGAGATGGTCCAGGACCCCAGCAAGGGTTTGAAACCAGACAACCAGAGGAGCCCACTCCACCAAGGCCACCTGGGAAAACTGGGCCCACAGTTTTCATCGGCACGACAACGAGCCGAAATAAAAACTTTAAAATCACAAACAACAGTGTTCTACTATGGAAAAAAAAAACCCAAAAAATTACCAAAAGAGTTGTAAGTGTCTCATCATCCCCATGGAACAGCTTCAAAGCTGCTCCTTGCCATGGCTCACCTCAAAGACTTCCTCATCCAATATCCTGGTGCCGAACACGATGATGCCGTTGACGTCGATGATGGGGTGCTCGCTCCGGTCCAGGAACTTGGTGATTTTCTTTTTACAGTCCAGAACCAAAGTGACATTTTTCTTCTGCACACTCAGAGCCACCCGGTGCCACCTGTGAGGACACAGCCCACAGACGTGTCAGGCACAGCCCTGGGCTTTGCAGGACAAGGCAATGATTGAACAAATAAAACGAACTTTCAGGAATTGATGCTCTCATGGAAATCCTCCCTGGGCAGAGCCTGAAGGGTTTGCTGGCAGGAGAAATGCTGATTGGCAGCTTTCATCCCTCCAAATCAGGCAGGAGAGGGCCAGCCCTGGCTTCAGCAAGAAGCAGGGATAAAACCACACTGTTGTCTCCCTTCTCCACCCTCTTTTTAAGCCCTGCACAAGCATGGATTTTGCAAGACAAACTGATTTTTTTTAAGGCCCTTCGCAGGAAAATCAATGTTCCTATCCCCACAAGCAGCAGACAGCAGCACTGACTGCTCATTTACAATTCTTACAGATGTCAAATTAATCCACCAAAGGCCAAAATGACAGAGTGGGGCACCTGTCAGCCGCCAGGGGTGTGCAAATACATTTCTATAGGCACGATTCCCATTTTACAAAACGTTCAACATGCTGGCACGGATAAAAACAATGAACTGATTTTTTCCTTGGTGCACAAAATGTCACTTACTTGCCATCTGCTAGGTTAATGCCTCTAAAGAGAGGATAGTCTTCTGGGCCTGGCTTTCCTGTATGGTCTTCATACAGGAATACAGGAGATCTACCCAACTCCACACCAATTTGCTGGATCCCTTGCTCATTGTAAATTGAGATCAAGAAGGACTGACCTCCTTTCTTCGCTTTTACAGTGGTTAGAATGGAGAAGTCCTCTGGGAAGGGGGAAGCTGGAGTGGAAAAGCAAAGAGGTTAGTGAGGTTTCCTCGGAAATAATCCCTACATCAACAGCGCTGCTGTCTGAGGAGCCATGGGTGGTTTGTCTCCAGATGTGTGCACATCAGCAGCCCTAAATGTTTATATAGGGCCAGCTGAAGATGTGGCTTTTCCCCAAATACTCTGGGGTGAAACCCCTGTGCTGGGAAAACAAAAGTTCTACAAAAGTAATTAGCTTAAATTTCTAATTTTTGCATGCAACCCTTCCAAAAGAAGCTCCCCTAAAGCTCTTTAGGACACAAGGCAAAAACCTTCATGAGGTGCTCCAAATGAATTGAATTTATCAAAGGGACAGAGGAAATCAAACATCAACACAATCTTGAAGGGTTTTTATTTAAGGGAGCAGAGAATTGCATCAGGATTTGTTCATTCCAGATGAGAACAGAAGATTTTGTGGTTTTGGCTTTCAGGGTTGCTGCAGACACACAAAAAAATCTGAAAAATGAAATAAATCTGGCAATCAATGGAAAATGGAAATTTGTCTGCTTATTAAACAGCACCTCATTTCCTGACCTTTCCTCCTGTCAGGAAAGAGCTGTGTCTGATCACAGGTGATTTCTGTCTTTATTTCTGCAAGGTTTGGAGGAGCCATTAAAGCCATTAAACTCTGTCAGTACAGGGTCAATCTGCAAGGCCAGGAAAACACATTTAAAGATTCAATCTGAGCATCACCCTCTTGCAGAAACCCAAATTTCTCCCCCTCTTTGGGTTTCTCTGCTGTTCAGACTGAAATGAAAGAGCCCAACTGAAAATCCTGGATCAGGGCAGCTTGAAAACCACCAGGAGCATTCATAAAGAAGATTTCTTGATGAAATTATGCACACAAACCCCCTGATGTGCATTTCAGAGTGTGGGGCTTGCAGGGAATCTCTCTTTGGAGCAAACCAAGGATTGCTTTGTACCCCAGCGGGGCAGGGCAGAGTGGGGCAGCCCCACTGTGGGGTTTGTGACACGTGTGGCACTGCTGGCACCCAGGGAACACAGGGATCCTGTTTAAACTGCAGATGTGCAGCCAAATAAACCACAGAAACCACCAAGCTCAGTGCCCAGAAGCTTCAAATAGATTTCCTTCACTAGTTTGGGTTTTTTTCTAGGGGGGTTTCACACAGGGAGGAGATGAGGAACGTGGCAGTGGGGAGTTCTTGGCACCACAGCCAAGTTGGAGCTCAAACACAGAACCCTGAGATCATCTCCTGACTGGGAGGTGCTTTAATTTTCAGGAACGAAGTATTAAACATTTAGGAACAAAGTTTTTAATGTATTTATCTGCCAACAGCAGGGAAGGGGATAAGGCAGGAGCTGCATCAAAACCAGAATTTCTGCAGAGCAAAGGGAGAACTTCAGGAGGATAACTCAGGATACCTATGGAGAAACACTTTGTACCAAGTTAATCTCTCTCACCTTGTGTAAATAACGTTTGGGAAGCAGCAGAGAGACCTCCCAGTCAGGAACTAAATGCCATTAGATTCTGATTTATCCCCAGGACTCAGCCCCAGACATTTGGCCAAAGCAGCTCTGGTTTTGGTGCCTCCCTGAGCTTTATCTGCCTCCCCTGTGCACAAACCCTCCTGGAGGACTGAGCCAGGACCATACGCCTTCCTGGCTCCAATTACAGCCTACAGATTTGGGCCTTTTATGTAAAATAGTTCATGTCCAAAATTTCATTATGAACCCACAATACAGTACCTTTCAACTTGGACAAGCTGCCAACTCATTAAAAAGCTGCTTTTAATTTTTTTTTTCATGATTATCAAAATGTCTCCATGGTGATGCGAGTTTCTCAACCCAAATAATCATAATGGATGAATTATAGCTGACATTACTCTGTTACTGCTCTGCTGTCCTGGCAAAATAACAATGCCTGCACTGTCAGAGGCAGAAATGACCCGGGCTGCTGAACGAGGGATGAAAACACATCCCCACACACACCAATACTGATAAATACACGGCCATAAATACACCAGGCACAGAGAAATTGACCCAAATCCCTCCAAAACAATGGAGACACCCCTCCAACAAAGGCTTTGGGTTGGATTCCTCCTCGTGGATTTGCTCCTCAAACAAGCTCACGCTGGGAGATGCTGCGCATCCATCGCTGGGGCTGGCTGGCATCCTCCTCCTCCCACCCCATGGCCAAAGCCTCCCAAAACCACCCTGTGGGACCCCCACAGCACGAGGGGGAGCCCCCAGTCCTGCTGAAGCTGCAGGAGCTCCAGGGTGGGCATGGCTGAATCCATGGGATGCTCCAATGGATGAGCCAGGGTCAGGCTGAGCAGCTCCTTGCTTGAGCACGGTGGTTAAAGGGTCTTGTAGAACCTTGTGGTCTTCAAAACAGGGCGAGTTTGGATCTTTTTCCTGATCCAGGTGTGCCCAAACATAGCCCAAACCAGAGTCTGCACCTGAGACTTTGCTAATCCAGGTGTGCCCAAACATAGCCCAAACCAGAGTCTGCACCTGAGACTTTGCTAATCCAGGTGTGCCCAAACACAGCCTAAACCCTGAGACCTTCATCCTAATCCAGGTGTGCCCAAACACAGCCTAAACCCTGAGACCTTCATCCTAATCCAAGGGTAACTAAACACAGACTGAACCAGAGTCCTGCTCCTGAGAATTTCCTAATCCAGGTGTGCCCAAACACAGCCTAAACCCTGAGACCTTCCTCCTAATCCAGGTGTGCCTAAACACAGCCTAAACCCTGAGACCTTCATCCTGATCCAAGGGTAACTAAACACAGCCTAAAGCAGAGTCCTGCTCCTGAGACCTTCTCTTCATCCAGGTGTAGCCAAACAGAGCCCAAACCAGAATCCCGCTCCTAAAACCTTCATTCTAATCCAGGGGTACCTAAGCAGAGCCTAAACCAGAGTCCTGCTCCTGGTCTGGAGCTGCAGAACAGCAGAAATCAGAAAAGCAGTGAGCTGATCCCATTCCTGAGCCAAACACAAAGAGAAAAGTGGCATTTCCTGAGCCTTTACACCTTTCCTCTTCAAAGCAAAGCTGGTTCCCACAGGTGTCACCAATTTCTGGCCTTTTCCTTCAGCTGAGGAGACTCTCAGCTGTGCAGTGATTTGTTTTTCTCAGGGGTGACTGTTCAGGCTGTAACAGAGATCTCTGAGAAGGCAAATGACAACTGCAAACTTGATGGAAGCACACAAATGACATTTTGCTGGCTGCCACTGAAACCCTTGCCTTTGTTGCTTCTTTTTCTCTTGCTTTTCTTTCTGGAAAAGCACGGGTTTTGTTGGGAAGCAGGACTTCTTCAGGCAGCCAGGACAAAAAGCATCTCAGCAGATGTTTTTTTTCACTCTTTTGAGCATGAAAAAACAAGTTTTGTGTGTATATAAATATATATACACACACATACATCTTGCTTTGCTGGCTGTGGCAGCAGAATGCAAAGCCCATGAAATTACATCTTAGAAAAGCACCAGCTTCTAATTAGCAGGAAATATTCTGTGCAGAGCACGTTTGCCAAGGGTGCTGTGGAGCAGAGAGGGAAAGCTCTGCTCCAATCCACCCTCCTGGTGACACAAAAGCCCTAAAACCACATTCCCCTGGGACACTGCCCTGCAATTTCCTTGTTATCTTTATCCCCTCTCTCATCTAGGGGTGGCAGCTGAAGTCACATCTCCTTAAAGAGATGATGAAACATCCATGGATCTGCCGGAAATCACTGGAATTGCTTCACTTGGCTCTTCCCCATTTCCTGAGCAAGCAGCAGAGAGGCCTCAAGGACTCTGGAAGTTTTCAGAGTGGGACTGAGCTGCTTCAAACACCCCCTGGGTGTCCAGGAGATGAAATGATGGAAAAGCTGCTCCATAACTCCATCGGGATCTTCTCACCCAAGGAAGAGGCAAACCAAGAACTCAGTGAGGGTGAGGATGTAAAAGCAATAAGGTATGAAAGAGACAACCAAGAAAATCTTCAACACTGAGCTCTTTCTTGAGACCAGGATTCAATTTTCTCCAAAAACCAGGACTCAGCTCTCCCCCGGGATCAGGATTCAGTTTTCTCCAGGACTCATTTCTCCCCAAGGATGAGGATCCACTTTTCTTCAGGGATGAGGACTCAGTTTTCTTCTCTCATCTCTCTGTGCCTGTGTCCCCTATGTCAGACCTGCTGTGATCCAATCCTTTGTTAAACAATCATCCAGAACCTTCCAGCCTTGTTTTTACCCCTCCAGTTCAGCACCATTTGCTGGTTTCAGTCACATCAAAGTGACCAGGCAAGACTCCACAGTGGCTACAGAAACTGCTGCCAAGCTCTCAAATCCACTCCAGCTGGATATTCCAAACTGGAACTTTTCATTTGAGCACTTTGGAGCTTGTAGACACCAGGCCTAAAAGTTGAAGTCATTTCAGGAACATGACAGGAAGGCACAGCCTGTCCAGCTGGGCACACAATGATTTTATCTGTGATCAGAAAGAACTTGCCTGCCCAGGACAGCAGTAAAGACAAATTTAGGGGCTGCTTTGCCCTTCTGTAGACATTTATACCAAATTTTAGGCCAGACTGAGCAGCTCATTTGTAATGGTTGCCCATGAAATGAAGCCCAGCCTGTCACACATTGCCCTCATCGCCCTTTCCTTCTTTCCTTTTTCCTTTCCTTTTTCCTTTCCTTTTTCCTTTCCTTCTTTCCTTTTTCCTTTCCTTTCCTTTCCTTTTTCCTTTCCTTTCCTTTTTCCTTTCCTTTC